CCCTGGCAAATGTGTTAAAGGTAGGAAATAGCAAATAAAAAACTAAATTAAGTTATATAAAGCTATTTTATAAAAGATAAATTAATTAAATCTTTATTCCAACTCTGCTGATGATATTTCTGACAAAATACCAGGTCAAGACTATTTACAGTGTTATCTTTATAAAAATGCACTTTTGAAACTTTTATATTGCACTGGTTGAATAATATAGCTATTATTTTGAAAAATTGCTTTAAAATTAATTTATTTGTCCTCTGGCCCCAGGGTAAAAAGGGTACCACGCCTATTGGGCAAAAAGGACCAAATTGCAATTTTTTGAAAAATAGCAAAAAAAACACATTTCTGATACAGCCGTGAAAAAATAACTGGTGACTTTTGGAACAGTACTGAAAAAACAATTGATTCTAGCATTCTACATTTAAGTAGTTTTTGTAATTTGGGGATTGCATATTTTTTCCCTTAGCTTTGCATATCTTTTCTTGGTGTATTTTCTGCGTTTCTGTTCTGAGTAATTGATACGCAGATATTTTTCACGTAGATTATTCAAAAATTAAACGTCTTCATCTCAATAAAATTCTCAGCAATTATTGCTTCATCAAAGTTGAGCAAAAGTAATTTTATCATGTATATTAGATACGAACAAATGTGAAATAAAACATCACACTGGCTAAAACACATTATGTATGTTCATCCAATTTTATAAAATTACTAATTATAGATGCTTAAATTTTTTTTATATAAATAAAATTTATATGTATTTGTTTTTTATTTTATAAAAAATTTATAATAATTTTATAACATGTTTATCAGACGCTAGATTATGTTGCATAGTTTTGTAAAGACTTATACGATTCATTGTAAATATAAATTTATAAAAAATGCATTTTACACGCATTGCATTGATTTTAATAATAAAATTAAAAATTTCTCAAAAAATTATTTTTTGGCATAATGTAGGCTTTTGTATATAAAATAGTCCTCCAATAAAACCTATGGAATCATTATTAGAACGAATAATTGTTATTAAAGCTTTGAAATTATTAAATAAAACAAAAAATAACATATATATTTTTTTAATTTCATTAGTTATAATTAGATGGAATTGCTTTATTCGAAAATATTTTCTTAGAATTAAAGTCCATATCAAATATTAACTTAGAAAACGCAAAGTTTCAATAATTGCCCAAAATTGAAATTTTACTAGTTAATTTGGATTATAGGTACTAATCATGAAGACTTAAATATACATATTTAAACATATAATTAGTATACGTATAATTACAACAAGGAATGTATTTACGAAATTGAATTTTAATATTCTTTTCTGTTTATGGCTATCTATTTTTTAATAAAATTGAACATGTAAAGTAAGAACATAATAAGCATTACTCTACACAGAATTACACCAATACATATGGTACAAAGTTTGTGTATGCAAGTGCGTAAATGTACAAAAAAAACATTCTAAAAACGTAAATATTAATAAAAAAATAGATAATATCAATTAAACATAATAATAATTTTGCTTGCATGCAGAACTGAAGTAGGTATATAACAGTTTTACATATTGCATTTAAAATCTCACATCGACCGTTTTTTATGAATCTATAAACAAAATATTTTCTTTTTCATAGTATATACGAAATATCTACATTGACGTAATATATGTAAATAAGATGTACAAACATACAAAAGTAACTTTCATTTATTCTTACTCCATCGTTACAACCTACTAAACGATATATTTTCAGGTGAGAAACATTTTCACACCATCAAAAAGCAGATTTCATCTTAAATGGAATGAGCGACAATTTTAGCACACCGGTCTGACCATATGATCATTACGAAATTAAAACTGAAAGTTTTCGAATAATTTAATTTCGAAGCAATCATGAATAATGGACCCAGAACCGCCTCATTGGATCCTTTTTACAAATGTAATACGATTTAACTTGTAACATAAGATTTACAGTTCTGTTTTATCATCGGCGTATTGAGGTTGGGAATTGCTGTAAGGTACTTAAAACTTTGCCTTCAGCTTTATCATAAATTATTAGCAAACGTGTATTAGAAAAATATTTTTTCTACAAATATGTTGCTTTAGGGAGCAAGCCCGTATAGTTCATTAGCAAATTTTCTCACAGTAAAGATAGAATGAAATCGTTAATTAATGTTTTTTTTCAAAATATCATTTAGTAATCATTAGACTTAGCCAACTTGTCAATATTTACTCATTATTAGATATTCAAGCAGAAAGCAATTAAACATATTTTTTTCAATCGTTATATATGTCCTATTGAAATGTTGAAACATATTATTATTAACAAGAATACCGGTCCATTATTTGAAAATAAATTTTCATAATATTTTTTGATTAAATATTTAATAAATTTGAATAATGCATGGTTTTAAAGTTTTAAGATTGTAATAGAGAATGTTATATCCTCTATATATAACTACAAGTAAATATACAATTGAATTGTTTTCAGAATACAATAACCTCCTAGTACATGGAGATAAAGATCCGAAATTGGTGTCACTTAATTAGCAAACATTTTTCTATTATTAATCGAATATCAATAAAAACTATCTTAACATACTGGTATATTCTTTTAATTCTTTATATTTATAATTAAAATCCATAAGCTCAGATTTTTCAATTTATATTTAACATTTATGATAGAAACCAGTTAATGTGGGAAATATGATTAGATTTTGTTGGTTTCTCAAGATTTTTTTTTATTCTATATAAATTCATTTAATAATTGTGTTGCATTTTTAGTTAATACTTATGATGAGGCAATAATATTACAAAATCCATCACAAAAACAATAATTTTAAAGATAACACAAAATTAACTAAAATATAAACGTAATAGAAATTTCATATACTATGATAGTAATAATATTTTGTGTAGGGCTGTAATATTAGTAAATTGAAAATTAGAATTAGAGTTTATAGTTTTATTATTGTTTATTATGTATTTTGAAAAAAATAGTTACAAAATTTTTGTAATGAAATCTAAAATTTTATAAACTTTTAGTGTAGTGTCTCATGAAGAATTTTGTTTGGGATAAAGTGTATGCAATGGATTACTAAGTTTCCTTGCATTTTCAAAAACTGACCTTAAGGTTCATTTGAATTATTTGTAATTTATTAAGGTAAGTTTTAGTAATGGGCCAAAAATCGAAAATGAAAATTTTTGCATCACGTTTCACAGGTTTCTGAACATTTTGGCATACCTCAGAAAAAATGGATGTGTGTGTGTATGTATAGAGACAAATTTTCATCGACAATTTCGGGCGTAAGGATAAACCGATTTGAAAAATTCAAAAGCAATCGATTTCTATTGATAGGCAAATTAGGTTTTGGCAATGGCAGGTCCAGCGGCTTCGAAGATATGGAGCAAAAAGTGCTAAAAATGTCAGCTTTTAAGAGAACGGATCAACCGATTTGAATGATTCAAAAAGCATTCGATCCGTAATGGTGGGGAGACGTGGTGATTAGATTTTGGTAAAAGCAGGTCTAGCGGTTTCGGAAATACTGTGCTAAATGTGCAAAAAATTGCAGTTTTTCAGAGAACTAAGCATCCGATTTGAATGATTTAAACAACTTTCTTGTGTTGACAAAACGATTGCTTTTGGGAAAACATTTTTTTAAATTGTTTTTTTTCTTAATTTTCAATTGTTTTAAATTAATTCTAGCTAGAGTTCTAAACATCACTGATATATAATTATAATAACCCATTTGAAAAAAATTAAAAATAATCAAATATTTCATTAAGCAATTGCGTTAAGGCACGATGCCATACACCACTAGTTTATATTGCTTTTGCTTTAAAAAGGGGAAGACAGATACAACCTAATCTCATCTAGTTTCATTTTTTTTAGTACTCAACAGAAAAATATAAAGCATATATTAATTTTTTTCTGTATGTAGTTTTGAATTTAAGATTTTTATTAAAGACTATTTTTTGTCGAACATTATACCTATGCCTTTGACTATGCTCTTCCAATTTACACCAACATCATTTTATTTTTATTATGAGTGTTGAGTTCTTGGTCTTGTTAGTTGATTATATAGTTTTTGTTTTAAATTTCTTAATTTTAATTTTCTCTTTTTTCGAAAATGTCTTGAAATTTTAGTATTTTTTGATTTAGCTGAGGAACTAAATAATATCTTGTCTTGCCCAAATGTAATTAATTTTTATTTTTTGAGAGTGTTTAATTTTTAGTTTAGACTATATAGTGTAATAATATAGTTTTTGATTCAGATGAATCAATTTTAATTTTTGATTTTCCGCAAATTATAAAATCCTGTACATGAGATTTTATTATTTAATTTAGCTGATATAAATATTGCTAATATGTCTTCATATTACACAATAATAATATTGTGTAATATGAAGACCAGCGAACATTGAACTTGAGATTGAAAATTGTGGGAAAAACAATTTAAACAATCATGTAATAACTTCTACAATGATTTTCAAATATTAAATATGCTTTCGAATAAAAGATACTAAATACAAATCCAAATAATCCCTGACAACAAACCTGATTTCCGAAGGTGCTTTGTAGGCCGCACTAGTAACATATATATCGGATCCATTATCGCCGAAGCTGAGTTGGCTAGGAGCCCTGGGTGGCGGTCTCGACGGTGGTCCACCGCTGGGCGTGAGAGCTGCGTGCGAACCGTGCCGGTGCACTGAGGGCACCGACAGCGCTTGCTGACTCGAGTGGTGATGGTGGTTCAGGTGCTGGTGGGATGACGATCGAGGCTTTCGTGGGTTCGGAGATAAACTTCGTTCGTTTGAGATCTGAAAGGAAAATTATTGATTTATAATAAATATTACATTACATTAAATACAAATATTACATTAAATGATAGCTTGATAGATCTTAATATGATCGAAGTTGGTGATAATGAATTATTATATTAACCTTTCCGCTCGCGAATTTCGAGATTTGTATGAATTTTGTCGCCGGAGAAGCGGCCTCCCAGTCGAAAGGGTTAACTTATTAACATCTCGTAGGGTAAATTATTGTAGTCGTACAAAAATCAATTTTTTTTGCATATCTTCACGTTCTGAAGGTTTATGAACATTTTGGCATACCTTAGAAAAAATGGATTTGTATGTATGGATACAAGTTTTCGCCCACGTTTTCGGACGCACGGATCAACCGATTTGAGTGGTTCAAAATCCTTATTCCTATTAATATGGAGATGTTTTTTGTTTTAGGGCAAAGGCAATTCCAGCCTTTTTGGAAATACGGAGTAAAGAGTACAGAAGAAAATAATCAAGTTTCTGAGAATACGAAGCATTTGTAATGATGAGGCAAAGTGGTGATTAGTTTTTGGCAAAGGCAGGCCCAGCCGTTTCGGAGACTAAATGTGCAAAAAATAGCAGTTTTCAAGAGGATTAAGAATCCAATTTGAAGGATACAAAAAACTTTCTGCTTGTGTTGAAAATAATTTTAACTTTACAATTCATTTATATAATTTTTATAAATTTTAGACAATGTTCTTCATTTTAAATCAAATTGATTAAGTTTTGTTTATTTACTTTTCTGTAAACATGAATAAACGTCGTTGTTTAATTCATAATCTCCTATATTTTGTTTATAAAATAAGAATAATGAAAGTTACAGTAGTTATAATAATCTATTTGAAAACATATAATATTTCTCGAATATTTTATTACGGTACAGGAAGTTCCTGCAATTTGCCTTAAAGCACGATGCCATACACCACATTATATTATATTGTATTTTATTTTATTATATTGTAAATTAAAACATTAAATAATTTGCAATGTACTATGGTACTTCTAATTTACTAATCAAACACAATTACACTGTCTCTACCTAACATATATTTATAAAAGAAACGAGTATCTTTAATACCTGACAAATCATAATATAAACTAAGCGTTAGTTGCATTTTGCTGTAATCAAAGTTGCGAAAACTTCTCGATATGTGTAAACAATCATCTTAATCAACGACATTTGAGATTTGGTAACTCTTAAATGTGTAACGATCAAAATTTGAAATTTGGAATCAGCTTAATATTCCAACTTTAGAAGAATTTTTATAATTAAGCCACTTTTCAATGCCCAAGATATTTTAGAATGATCGCTACGACCATCATATACAGTTTTTATCATATAAAGTTTCATCAAAAACATCGAATGTTTCCAATAATCATTTACGAAAGAAAGGTCAACTGATATCTTTCAAACAGTTTTGAATTTTGAAAATTGGTTTTGAATATTTGGCTAGAACTCGGACAAATTTTTACCATTTTTTGCTAATTCTAAAGAAGTAGCTCTGGCACAAAACATCTTTTTCGAGTTTGCTTAAATGGGTTTTGAATTTTAAAATTGACGCAGCTCTTTTTGATAAAATTTTGACAAAAAGTCAAAAATTTTTGAGAGAAAATATAAGTAGCAAATTGGATTTTTTGGCAAAAACAAACTTGTCCTTTAGGAAGTTACTTATATAATAAAAAGTTTAATTTTTATGAATGAAATTTAAACATTATTATCATTTATTTATAACTTATAAACATTTGCAATGTTCCCTAATTCATTATTGAACTTTCATTTTATTCAGACCAAATATTGAATAATAAATACATATTTATACCGAATTCTTTAAAGAACTGCATTTGCAATATATTTATAGGTATACCTAATTTTATGGTTATTAACATAAAAATAATTAAAAAACTTTTCTGACTTCATAAATATAAATATTTACAATTACCAATAAATATTGAAATATTCAAAAATATTTACAATCTGATAGAGTACAGTAACATAAACGTAATAATATTGAATAGGTATTAGAAAATAATTGTGCTAATTTGCATAACTGATTAACATGTTTCAATAACATATTAGCATGTCCGCTTTTATACTTTCGGCAGCAATCACCAAGTTTCATATTTTTTAAGAAATAAATCATTTGAATGTATTGACCTTCAGTTTATGATGGTTTTCAAAGTGAAGAAGTGTTAATAAATTATTTTATCAATTTGATTTACACAATCTATTATAAATAAGCAATGAAGTTCCAAGAAAATCGGCTGTGGTAGGTATATGTAAAATTAACTGTGAACATAATAGGCAGTATACCTGATGCAAAACAATTAAAATTGATTTGTGTATTACACACTGATTGTGATTCATCTTATAAAAATTTATAAGATTCTATTCTGACTTATACATTTTTCCAATCGAAGTTTGAATTTTTAGTAAAATTTAATATGATCTATTGCCTATATACTTTGATCGTTTCTCAATTCTTGATTATGAATTTTTGCTTTAATAGCAATATGACAATGTTTTTAATAATTACATTACATGTTTATACAAAAATTAAAAATTGTATCAAATTTTTATCACATTATCTTATGCATTGAGACAATTCTCAATTTATACATATAAGGAGAGTATGTAAAAACCGACATATAAAGACTCAGGTGTTCGAACAAAAACAAGAATAAGTAGAACAGAATAGCCATAAGTTTAGCCCTTGCAAAATCACAAATTATCTGAATTACAGGTCTTCAAATTTATTACTGCAGTGTAAATAGATCACAAATGCTGCAGGAGATAGGAACAGCTATACAAAACCAGTATTGGCATAAGAAAAGGTATTTGTAGGCCAAACCGCATTGCACCTTGTCTATTACAGAATCTTCTATCGATGGAAATTTCTCTAGAATGTTAAAACCTAGAACTACTGTCGAGCACCTTCCAAGTACATAGTTACTTAACTTCTTATAGGAATTTATGAACTTTGTGGGATAATGATAGACAATAATTATTTAATATAACTCATATTAACTATAATTGACCACAGATTATCCAGTGTGCGTAAACGAATAGAATGCTTGTTCAATCAGTGGAAGAAAGGCAATTTAAAAAACTTTATAACAGGAAATTTCATTAAATTGTTTTTACAATTACATATCGTAATTGAGTAGGTATTGTGCCGAAAGAAGTAATTGCATATGAAAAAAAACAAAATTTCATAACTTCCTACTTGCCTTAAGTGGCTGTGAAAAATTATGACAAATGGCGTTGATTATGAGTTGCAAATATCATTTTCGAGGAGTAGAAGATAATGAATGAACCACTCAAATGGTTAAAGTTTTTTATATAAATATTATTAGGTAGCTATGTAATTTTTAAAGACTTGAAATTTTTTTAAAAATATGCTACTTAAACGTAAAAAAATAATTTATATCTTATTTCATGTTCAAATCAATTATATTTGATTGTAATAATCATAATGCAGTAATTCTTTTCAAAAACACAGTACAACAGGTGATTGGCGACCTCGAGATAATCAATATCGATGAAATACCTATGTGATCTTATACGTTATAAATCTTAGCTTTATAGTAGTTTTATTACAAAATAATTGCTATTAAAAGCTACGCAAGTTGCTCATTGCGTGAAATAGTCTATGTTGAAATATTGCATTGGTTTCATTGAGTACATTGGTTTTACAATATTGTAATAAAAGATGATTTTTTTAAAATACAGAAGCATCATTGATATTAAGCTGCTTGATTCCCAAAAATCTAATTGTTTAATTAAAACGAGAAATTTTGAAGATAGCAGACAAATCGCAAATTATGAATATCTTAAGACACAATTTTAAAAATTATTGGGAATAATATTTTAGACCAGATGTCAAATTTTTGCAACCGTAAATTCAATCACAATATTACTATTTTGAAAAATGAGTAATAAAATTTGAACTGTCCTGACTACCGAATTTGAATAAACCAATGAAAAAATTAAATTAAGAAAAAGGCTACTTTGTTGCAAAAGACATTATGTCACAATGTAAAACTTTATTATTTTATTTGTTCAAGCCATAACTCACAAATGTTCGAAATTAGCATATTGAATGTAGATACATATATCTAATAAATTTATCAAAATTGATAGAAGTAGATGGATTTGAAAGTAGTGATATTATATTCCATAATCAGTAATGGCACATTAACATATTGTTATGCATTAATCCATATATGTAAGTATATATATATATATATATATATATATATATCCCAGAAAATTTATAACTATGATTGCGGACCAAATTTATACTTTAAAACACAATATGATACCATGAATTATTAAAATCTTACAATTTAACAATAAGATAAACTAATTGTAAGTACTATTTACTCTTTTTATTTTTTATTTTCACTCCAATTCAATTGTTTTAGTTTTTAATTTTATTTTTAGTTTCCACTGAATGAAGGCTAGGATCATAGCCGAAATGTATGGATGTAAAATAAATTTTTGAAAGAAATTCATGTTTTTTATTGATGTTATGCCGATTACTAGACTTGGTTAATACATAAGTCAACATCAAATTCAGAATCATACAATGTCTAATTTGAAATAAATATTATATTTTAATACGACACAATGGCTAATATTAAATTAATCAATTAATGTAATTTAATGCAACGTCAAATGAAAAACCTCCAACCATAAGCGAATTTGCATTTAACGATTTTGATCTATAAAATCAGAAATATTTTAACAGATCTGCTTGATATATTCAAAAATAAACAAGATTTGCGTCATATAACTACTTAATATACCATCTTTGACTGCAATTAAAAAATTATTAACATTCTATCCGTTAAAAAAAACATGAATATATATAAGACAAGACAATGTTCTTGGTTTAGAACTAGTAGGAAGGGCAATATTTTAAAAATATATTAAATACGACTAAAACATGTCGTTTTTTTAAAGATGGAAACCCAACAGTCGTCACATATCTACGTGAAGAGGTTTTATTATTAAAATTTTTGTATAGAGTTGAATTTTTATTACTACAGCAATGCTGGATAAGAACTATTTTCACTTGGAAACATATTGCATCTATATTTCCAAGTGGAAACCAGGTCACTAAAGCTTGATATCAGGTTGCTGGGTATGGGTATCAAACCTAGGACCCACAGACAAGCCCTGTATCATTATTAACGCAGCTTGTAAGAGTATATTTAACAATAAAAAATATGTAGATGCTAATAGTGAAACTATAGTCAAGACATAAAATTATTTATTAGTATTTCTTAAGAAACCTTTGTTAAGCAAAATTCATAATAAATGCGTATCTAGATTGTGTTAATGCTAAATTATTACTCAGCTCGCCATCTAAGATTACGAACATGATGTCGTTTTACATTTTATGCATTTATAAATTATCCTTACCATATACTCAGAAGCGGCTCTATGGGAGTCTTCGCCATCGGTGCTGTAGGCAACATTCGAATGACCATTTCTCACTAAATATCCCTCAGGGGAGCTATGTGTCGCCACATAGTGGTTACTTGCAACTCTGCGCGCCATGCCGGAGATATAACAAAGATCTTGATTCTGAACACTCGGCAGGTGATGCTATGTTTTTGAGTTTATCATTTTGTATAAAGAAGAACTATTTAACACTTGTCCAGCAAAATTTAAATCAATTGAATTGTACTATTTTTTAAAAAATTTCTTGTGGTTCTTCATCATCGGTAAACGAAATGTATTTAGGTCCAACCTGAATGAGTAATCTGAAACAAACAAAGAAAATTAATATTATTTATTCATTCAAATTTATTCAAATTGATGATATAAATCTGTAACAAATATATAACCCATTCGATGAAAGAATGATTTTTTAAATATAAAAATCAATGAATTTGAATGTGAGCAGATTTACTATGAATCCAACTTAATTGAATAAATAAATAACTTATCGTTATTTTTACTTCCCGAAGGAGAAGTTTGTGTTCATCAAAAAATTCAATCCGCTAATTTTATGTTTTCTGGACGTTGCAAGCCATTCTGAATCGAATGAGATCAAATTTGAAAAACGTATGTGTATGTGAGTGTGTTTAAACAGATTTTTGTTCCTTATAGTTGTGAGGTTGTGACTGCCTGGGGGTATTCACCACAATTTGTGGTGCAACTATCGTCACCATTTTTCATATTATTATTAAAACAAATGTCTAAGTTTGAGCTGTTAGAGATACGGGCTGATTGAGAATCAGAAGTTACAGGTTTGATACCCGTTTCGAACAGCCTGATATCAAGCAGTTTGCACTTAAAAGTGTAGATAGAAATATGTTTCCAAAAGAAGATAGCCCTTATTGACATTGCTGCGTCCAATAAAAAGTCATCAATATTAGAATTATTCTAATAATAAATTCATCAAAAAGGTAAGGGCCAAACCGTTGGCTTGTTAGTAATATTTCTAATCCCTACTACAAAAAATCGAAAATCAGTTATGTATATTTTTACGTTTTAAGGTCTTCTGAACATTTTGGCATACCATAGAAAATTGGATGTATACATATATCTGCGTGTGTGTGTGTGTCAGTGTATGTATGTTTGTATGTATGTGTGTGTGCCATTTGGCGGACAAAAATGATCATCTGATAAATGCATGTCAAAATATCATATTTTATAGATATTTTAATAATAAGAACAAATTTTGTTTACTTTTCCATGGCTTCCGTACCAATGTTTATCCGTTATATTGCGACGCGGCGCTCACGCGCTTCGATATTTCGTTTCTACGCAGATAACGTATGGCGGTCGCTTTGAAAAAAGTTCAAAATTTCCAAAACATTTTAAAGTATAAAAAAATCTAATTTTTCAAAATGGTGAATTTAAAAAAAAATTAAAAATCTCAAAAATCTATTTTCTCCAAAGTTCTAAAAGAAAATGGAATCTTTTTTAAAAAAATAATTTTTGGTACGGGAAGTTCCAGCAATTTGCCTTAAGGCACGATGCCAGTAGTTAAAAATATTTGAATACTACAATATTCTGTGAAACCGTTTATATGCAAAAATGATATCGATTGTGATAGATAGAGATATTTTTATAATTTTAACACAAAAGAATACACATCTCTTTTGCGATTTATTTATATGTTAAAATTTTAATTAGAAATTATTTTTATTGCTTTTCAGAAAATTCTTCTAGTTTTATCGTTCAAAAATATTAATAGATATGATAAATAATAATTAAACTAATCTAAATAAATTAAACTAACATGAAATACATCACAAATATAATTACAATATGAAATCGATACTGCAATCATTCATCTCATTATTTCTAACATATAAAATAACTATATTTCATAGCTCTGCGCATTTTATGATGGTCGAAATGAGTTTTGTAACAAAACAAATAAATTGCAAACACATTGAATCGTTGACATTCAATTCTGCTGAGTTATTTATTTCTGTAGGAAGTTATTATCTCGAATCCGAGATGCTGTTTTATCTAATGTGCATATTAGATCCGCAGATGTGGATCCATCGAGGGTTGACAATATCTTTGATGGTAGTTCAGATAAATTTTATATAGTTTAATACAAGTGCAAAATATAAGCATACATTAAGTGATTATAAATCACACTTCAAGAAAATAGCATTATTAGAAATTATTGTTTTGCCTTCCATCTGTGAAGGAGTTTAATCTCTCTAAGAACAGAAATAATTTGGTTAAAACGTAGCTCAAAAGATTTATTTAAAAATTGTGTTCATATTTATATCTTGAGGAAAGAAAATAATATTTTTAAAATTGCGGCCTAGCAGTATAGAAATATAGAAATCTAGTACGAAATCGATCAATATGATCCCTTATCGATCAAGGGGAGATCAATAAAGGCCAAAAATCTTTGAAATTTGTTTTTAGACCCACAAAAATAACATTTAAATGAGTTTCTACCACCAATGTAAAATATTTTTTCCTATTTTTAATATAGACATTTACACAAAATATTTAGTTATTTGGCTTTTGTCCAGACAACATCTTTGTCCAAATATTCAGTGATATAAATTAAATATAATAGTAGTAACATTTACCTATAGTGATGAGAAATTTATATTGGTGACCTGTCACATTTACCATTGTGATATAATGCATCTGCTGAAATAAATAAGGAACACTGGGTACGGTTGTACCAGAGTACGGTAGTGGCAGTCGTCAAAACAGCTAAAATATACTAATTTTGAGAGAGAGTCCAAGAGAAGAAAGATGTATGTTTGTTTGAACAAGTTTCCACTATTACTTTCAGCGCCCTTATGATCTGCAAACCGCATTGTTTTTATAGAGTCAGTAGAGTATCTCAGTATTTCCATGTAAACAAATGTTCAAATTACCATTTAATTTACTTTTCTTCCGGCTAACTGGTAAATTAACAGAATTATTGCTGATGAAGTCGCACAATCGTACCCAGTCCCAATACTAGTAAAATTAAAACTGAACTAATAAGACACTTGAATTCTGAATTTATGGTACTATTTCTCTTGGCTTAGTGGTCAGAAGTTAGGTCTGCCAACCAGAAAGTTACAGGTTTGGTACTCGCCTCGGACAAACTAATACCAAACAGCAGAGACGTCGGTTGACCTTTCTTAGACAAAGATAAAAATATGTTACCAAATTAAAATAGCTAGCCTTGCTACATCAAATTAAAAATTATAGAATTGGAGAAATTCGAAAGAAGTAAATATATCAAATAGACTTGGGTTGCTTTCGAAGGAGCTACAAAGTTAAAACATATCAATAAAACATTTCATAAGACTCTTAAGTACTGATTGCTGCTCGAATATAAATGAAAAAAAAAATCACAGTCTCCAACTATGTCCTACTAGTTTAACCTAATTCCAATTTTATTGGCAACCCTAGGTTGACTCTTTCGAGATGCAGAATTCTGTTTACGCTCTAAAGCCCTAACGGAATTTCACTGCAACGGTATTTCAGAGATGTTGAGATATGCCACTATCGTTCTATTACAAAGACTCACAAACAAAACAGTCTTATGATCATTATTATGCTAACGATGAAATTCATATCATCGTCCTAAATTCTTTATAGAGTTGCGCAATTTCAGTCATTCATCTCAGACATTTACATCGATTACAAATCGTTCCGTAGATTTTGAACTACCGATTTGACAAGTAGTTAGATGGGAAATGAGAGAAATTATACAACTAAGCAAAAATTTAATTGTTGTTGAACAAAATGATTATTATCGAACAATACATAGGATAAGAATTGTTACGTATGGAACGAAGTTAAAATTGAAACTTATAATTAAAAAAAAAATTTTGGAGGTAAAGTTTGAGGAGGTTGAAAATTTGTACAAATTGTGTTTTTTCTTTATGAAAGTATATCTAGGGTAGTTGTTATATTTTAGTTTATTATAACTCAAAAGAAAAACTGGTAAAAAACTGAATATGTAAAAAAAAGAAGTTATGCACTTACCGTATGGCGCAAAAAGTTTTTGGTTATATTTAATTTCAACTAAATTTTTGTTTTTATTTTTTATAAATAATTTGTGCGTATTGTTCGTTCAGGATTTAAAAAAATTTAAAAGAAAAATAAAGAAATATTATAAGGAAATTGAAGACAAAGAAGACTGAAGAGCTATATAAAGATATTTTAATTATAATGGATATTATATTAATGAAATAGTCAAATGTATATATATATATATATATATATAAAATATGAAAACTGTTTTTTTAATCTCTCATACCAGGCACCTCAGTCTGTCAGATATTTTTTTTTTTTTTTTTTTTTTTTTTTTTTTTTTTTTTTTAACTCATTTTATTTAGCAATCAGAAATACATTAAGATTCCTATGAGCTAAAATGACAATGTAAGAGCGAAGCCTAAGAAGAGCTCCAATGAGATCTTCTCAGTTTAACAATTGCTATAATAATATTATATTAGACCTAATCTAAGACTAAGTCTAAAGGCCATTGTCGTTTCAATCTTCTTATACCATAAGGTTTAGTAATTTCAACTATAGAGGGGTTCGAATGTGAGTCCAGTTTGCGTTTGTATTTTTCATTGAATTCTTGGAAAGTTAAATGCACCGTTTTCATCTTGAGGTCGCTGTGAATGGTTTCATTGTTACGTACCATGGAGAATTAAGAATTGTAAAAAAAGAGCCAAACTGGGACTTGAAACGTATGGATGACTTATTAAATTGATTTAAAACTTATTTAAGCTATAACACAAATTATTTTAGACAGCTTGATGAATGCCTATTAAAACTTGAACAATATAAAGTTTTAGAATGCAAGATTTCAAGGCAAAACATTGAAAAATTTTAAAGCGTCTCTTATTGCAGGAATAATATTATTGAAAACTGATAAATTGTTGAATAATTATTAACTCCTTCTGGACGGGAAGATGTCTTCTTTTAGTGGCTTTATTTAAAAATTGAATTATTAAAGCAAAATGAAAGTAAAGCTATAATAACAATTCTGTCATATGTTGGGAGTCATTGTCATAGTCTTGTTGCAGTAATCAGTTCAAACGCGTTTTTCACCTGATTTTTTGGAGACCTGTTCATTGATATTTACAATTATTTCAATTAAAATCAATTAAACAATGCCAGAACTAGTGATTTTAATCAATTTTATTGCAATAATCAGGTATTTGATGAAATTTTGATTAATAATTCATTTTTGTTCA